AATCAAAGATCAATCAATCAATCATCAATGAACAATGAAGAATCAATCAATCGATGCCTCCGCGAATCACCGCCCAGCGTGCGCAGGCAGCTGTAACGCGGAGCCCAGGTTCACCCCAGTTGCTTGCCGGGAGGGAGGACGAGTAGAAAATCATGAGCATTATCAATCGATCAATAGCAATAAGAATCTCTCTTAATCGATCCCTCGCGATCACCCCCAGCGTGCGCACGCCAGCCCAGGTTCACACCACGTTCGCTGCCGGAGAGAGAAGAAGAGAAACTCAATAAACATTAATCAATCAATCAATCAATACAATAAGAATGCAATCAATCGATCCATCGCGTGATGACCTCCCCAGCGTGGCGCACGAGCCAGGTTCACCCGCGTTGGGTGCCGGAGAGAGCGGATGAGAAATCATAAAACATTAATCAATATCAATGCAATCAATACAATAAGAATCAATTCCCAACTCGTATCCTCTGGATGACCCCCCAACGCCGCTCGCCGCACCGCGCCCAGGCCTCTCACCCACGTTGCTGCCGGGAGGCATGGAGAGGAATCAGCAATAATTAATAATAAATACTTGTTGAATTAATTAGAAAAGTAGCAATACCGTCGTTTTTTCCAGTAAAGGTTAAGGACTTTAGGTGTAGGTGAGTGTAAGAAACCTGTCGTAATCATCCCAAATGATACGTACGTACTCCAGGATATGTTTTGTTATATTTATTTTATTTATGTATATCATTTGATTTATTTCCATTTAGATTGAATATAGATGCTTCAGTCGACGAGTGGAAAAGCATAGAATGCTGTGAGAATATCGATGGATCAAAGCTTGTCGAGATAGAGAGAGAATAGAGTAGATAGAGAAAGAGTTAGAAAGAAGAGAACGAGAAGCGAGTGAGACAAGATAGATAGAGACGCACTTACCTGAGTACTGATATCGAGGTCCCGAGGCCTGTTGCTACAAAGGCTCCATCACAAGACGTAATCGAGCAGACGTGTCTCTCACATGAAAGATAGAAGCACACGAACAGTTATACAACAGTTAACAACAGTTAACAACCAGTTAACAACAGTTAACAACAGTTACAACTGTTAACAACAGTTAACAACAGTTAACAACAGTTAACAACTGCAGCAGCTTTGCTTCTACAAAATGCTACGAGTGGCAGCATTCTGAGAATGAAGTAAAAAAAAGTAAAAGCAAAAAGAGTTACATTGAACGTCCAAGATCTTATTCATTACCACCAGCTCTCGACTAAAACAATGACTTTTGGCAACCTAAATGTAACTGTCTCTAACCACTAATGCAGACCAGCCTTTTTCCATTAACATAGCAACGTTTATTTGGTTATATTTAGCATTTCCTGACATTTATCAACCAACAACTTCTATTAACCTGCAGTATAATTGTAACAAATTCTGTAGCAATAATTTCAATAAAACCATAATGATAATGTCGTATGATGCACAGTTTCTAGAAACTAAAACACGCCAACATATTTCTTCTACTAAAAAACAAAATGGCCGTCGACGCGCACCTTTGTACTGACTAACGGCCGTCAACCACAGCGCTGGATTCTGCTCCACCTCTGATGGAGGGATCAGGATGGAGTGATGGCCGGAGTAGACGCTGCTGAGGCACCACAGCGAGAAGCCGAGGCCGCAGTAGGGGTCGAGGCAGAGCGCGATGTGTCGAGACGGGTAGAGCTCGCAGGCCAGCTTCATACTGCGACACAGCGACGTGCATGCCGCGTGCGAGATCTGTACGTGTGAGGGAGAAGAAGGAGACATGGATTAACCATGCTAATACACACGCACGCGTGTACAGGTACGCATGCACGCACGCACGCGTGTACACGTACGCATGCACATGGTACACAGTATGTGTGAACACATCTTCCTAGGAATAGATTCAAGGTGTTTATATTATGCACACTTTCTTCATCCTTCAATATATATATAATCACACGCACGCACGCACGCACACACACACGCATAGCATATAAGGAATATATATGCTTTCCTCAATGGCACATTTCCAATTTATTATGTAACATTAGCTATCACCACTTTTCTTCTATCCCCATCTGTCATCTGCACTCATTATTATTATAATAATATTATGTTTGTTATTACGGTAATAATACTATATTGTCATTTTTCACTTATTATTATTATAATAATATTATGTTCGTTACTCTGGTCATAATACTACATTGTAATTGTGTTTGTTACCATGGTAACAATACTATATTGTTATTGTTACAATGGTAATGCAATAATACTATATTGTTATTGTTACAATGGTAATGCAATAATACTATATTGTTATTGTTACTATATCGGATGGTAGCGCATGCCGCGCAGTATGAACGTCTCATCCAGCGCCCCCGTCACAAACACGGCGTCGTGCAGCTCTGGAAAACATTCACGATTGGTCAACGACGACACGAAATGATTTATGATTGGTCGACGATGGCACGAAATGATTTACGATTTCTCGACGATAGCACAAAATGATTTATGGTTGGTCGCCGACGACGTGAAAAATGTTTTGATCGGTAATCAGCAACACGTCAGCATGATGTAGTTCATGATTGGTCATCAGCAACACAAATAATAATTTACAACTGGTCATTGGTGGCATGAAACGATTTACAATTGGTCAGATTGTGTCTGGTCCTGATAATATCAACATGTATAAAGTACAAACAACAACAAAAACAAAAACAACTACCATTACTACCACCACCAACAGTACCACAACTACCACTACCACTACCACCACTACCACTACAACTACCACCACTACCACTACCCCCACTACCACTACCACTACCACCACTACCACTACAACTACTAAAAATAAACAACAACAAACCAACAACAACAGCAACAAACAAGCGACAACGCCCGCGCCGCTCCGCGACTCACCTCCATCCTGGTTGACAGCCTCCGTGCGACGCAGGAATCCCAGGTAACCGGTGCGCGCGTACGGCGTCTTCATGTCTCCCGTCGCGAGGTAGGAGCAGAACTGGTCGGCATGCAGCGAGTCGTCACCGTAGATCGTGTAGTAGCCGCTCGAGTTGTGCGGACTGTTCACCCAGATCTGCGGATCGAGGAGAAGGAGAAGGAGAGAAAAACACGATTAGAGAATGAACGTGAGATTTTAGCCAGTAAGCTAGTTTTAATTTAATACGAGCGTTTTTCCCATCGCAGCTGCTTATTACAAGTAACTATTTCGCATGGAGAGAGCATCGCTGCATTTATCTCGAAGGCTTACCATTCGCAGATCTTCTTGTGTGCGCGCTGAACGCACATCTCGATATCGATCGGAGCACGTTCTAGCGACGACAGTGATGGCAACTGGTTACCTCTTTGGGTGGGCCCGTCACCCTATCTCGATACGAGTGGGCTCGGACAGTGTGTGCGAGTTACCTCGATTGCTAACTTGAGTTTCCTTTGCCTGCAGTGAGAGGATACAGTGTGCTAGCAACGCTAGCCAGGTTTCTTGGGAGTGGACGTTCCATGCCAAACTTGAGTTTCCTCAGTTGCCCCCCCCCCTTCAATGAGAGGGAGTTCAGTGCTGCGATGACCATGACAGTGACTTGTTGGAGGTCACGTAGATTAAGGTCTACATGTTTTAGGCGACGTAGATGTAGATCGTGGTCTATACTTTGTGGGCAATGTAGGCGATGGTCTAAACGACACGTTGTAGGCGACGTAGATTGGATCAAGCTGGTCGGCAAGGATTCCATCGCGCAGGCTCGTCTACATGTTGTAGGCTGGCCAACACATCATAGGTGGGCCTACATATTTTAGTCGATGTAGCTTGAGTCGAGCTGGTCTACATGCTGTAGGTGGTCCTAATGTTTTAGGCGACGTAGGTCGATTAGAGCTGGTCTACATGTTGTTGACATGTTTTAGGCGGGCCTACATTGCAGGCAGTCCTACGTTTTAAGCAGGCCTACATGTGGTCCACATGTTTTAGGCGGTCCTATTTGTCTATAGGCAGTCCTACATATTTTAGGCAGCCCTACATGTCTTAGGTGGTCCTTAATGCCGTAGGCAGTCCTACATGTTTTAGACCGGCCTACATGTTGTAGGCAGTCATACATGTTTTAGGCGTGCCTGCGTGTTTTAGGCAACGTAGATCAGGTCGAGCTGGTTGGCGAGGAATCCGTCGCGCAGATGCGTCTACATGTTGTCTACATTTTTTAAGCCAGCCTACATGTTGTCTACGTGTTTTAGGCCTGCCTACATGTTGTCTACATGTCTTAGATGGGCCTACACGTTGTCTACGTGTCTTAGACGGGCCTACACATTGTCTACACGTCTTAGACGGGCCTACACATTGTCTACATGTTTTAGGCCAGCCTACATGTTGTAGGCGACGTAGATCGGGTCGAGCTGGTCGGCGAGGAATCCGTCGCGGAGGTGCATGCGCTGCTTCTCGCCGCGCGAGTTGATCGGCACCACGCCGGGGTCGACGACGACGACGACGCCGACGATGAGGTAGTGTTCCTCGAGGACGACGTTCGTGACGAGGGGAACGATGTCGAGCGCCTCGTGTTCGTTGCCGTCCAGCTCCGTGACGACTACGAGCAGGTTCGTCCACGTGAACACCGCACTGTAATAAACACAAGGCTGCCTTACTATGTGTTATACAGGGTCGTGTTTAACTATATATAACAGTGGCAGCGACGAGCAGGTTCGTCCTCGTAAACACCCCGCGGAAATAAACACAAGGCTGCCTTACTATGTGTTATACGGGGTTATACAGTTATACATGTGTATATACGGAAACCATCTAGCTCTATTTCGCGTTTCGTCGTCGCTACGAGAGAGCATCACTGCGTTTTTCCCATCACAGGGTTACCAATCGCAGATCTTCTTGTGCCACAGGCACGCACGCACGCACGCACGCACGCACGCACACACGCACGCACGCACGCAGCTGCTTATTACTACAGTAAACTATTTCGCCGAGAAGCGCATCGCTGCATTTATCTCGAAGGCTTACCATTCACAGATCTTCTTGTGCGCGCGCTGAACGCACATCTCGATGTCGATCGGATGGTAGCGCATGCCGCGCAGTATGAACGTCTCATCCAGCGCCCCCGTCACAAACACGCGTCGTGCAGCTCTGGAAAACATTCACGATTGGTCAACGACGGCACGAAATGATATTACGATTGGTCGACGATGGCACGAAATGATTTACGATTTCTCGACGATAGCACAAAATGATTTATGGTTGGTCGCCGACGACAGTGAAAATGTTTTGATCGTAATCAGCAACACGTCAGCATGATGTAGTTCATGATTGGTCATCAGCACACAAATAATAATTTACAACTGTCATTGGTGGCATGAAACGATTTACAATGGTCAGATTGTGTCTGGTCTGATAATATCAACATGTATAAAGTACAAACAACAACAAAAACAAAAACAACTACCATTACTACCACCACCAACAGTACCACAACTACCACTACCACTACCACCACTACCACTACAACTACCACCACTACCACTACCCCACTACCACTACCACTACCACCACTACCACTACAAACTAACTAAAAATAACAAACAACAAACCAACAAAACAACAGCAACAAACAAGCGACAACGCCCGGCGCCGCTCCGCGACTCACCTCCATCCTGGTTGACAGCCTCCGTGCGACGCAGGAATCCCAGGTAACCGGTGGCAGTCCGGTCACGGCTGTCTTCATGTTCCCGTCGCGCGAGGTCTAAGGAGCGAACTGGTCTGCATGCAGCGAGTCGTCACCGTAGATCGTGTAGTAAGCCGCTCGAGTTGTGGCGGACTGTTCCGCCAGATCATGCGGATCGAGGAGAAGGTAGAAGGAGAGAAAACACAGATAGAAGTGAAGAACAGTAGATTTTACGCCAGTAAGCAGTTTTAATTTAATGAGGAGATCTCGCCCGAGGAGGAGGAGGAGGATGTGGAGGAGGAGTGGAGGAGGAGGACGGAGAAGAGGAGGACGGAGGAGGAGAGAGAGGAAGAGGGGAGGAGGAGATGAAGAGGATGGAGAGGAGTAGGCAGGAGAGGAGAGATGGAGAAGAGGAGGAATGAAGAGGACAGAGGATGGAAAAGAGGAGGAGCAAGAAAGGAGAGGAGGAGGAGGAGAGCTATCGAAGCGGAGCAGGAGAGGAGGAGATGAAGGAGACAGGAGGAGCGAGGAGGAGCAAGGAGGAGGAGGGAGGAGAAGAGAGGAGGAGATGAAGGAGGTAGGAGGCATAATGGTCAGCATGCCAGCGAGTTTGTCTCCGTAGATTCATGTAATAGCCCGTTCGAGTTGTGCGGACTGTACACCGCAGACTAGCGCCAGGGGAAGGAGGAAAGGAAAGAAGTACGCTGATTAAGAACGAACGTCAAGATTTTAGGCCAGTAAGCATTCCAATTAACTCTAGTAATCTACTAAACTAATCATAAAATGCAATGGAAACATGTGGCCTGTTCACCCTGATCTTAGCCGAGGAAGGAGGACACATGAGGAGAGAATGCAAAGATGAGAGATTTGACTGCGGGATTTTAGCCGAATCATGAGTTAACTGAGAGTAAATATGAGCAAAAAACATGAATTAGAGAATACAGCACGGGATTATCAGCCAGACTAAGTTAATTTGATTGAAATGAAGAGATCTGGTGAGGAGGAAGGAGGTAGAAGAAGGAGGACAAAAAACACTATTAGAGAATGAAATGCACGGGTTTTAGCCCAGTAAGCTAGTATCAATTCAATGAGGTAAAATCGGCCGTTGAGGCGCATAAAACGTATTTGCTCGCAAATGCAATGGGAGAAGTGGGCCTGTTGCCAGATCTGCTCTGCGAGAGAATATCAGAGAGAGAAACTGCACTCGTGGGATTTAAGCCAGTAACGCTAGTTTGTGCATAGCGCAGTGGTTGTGATAGAACCTCGTGAACCAGCGCAATCTTCTTGTTAGCAAAGTACAAACTATAACCTCCTAGCTCTCTTTGTACTCACCTCTCTCTAGATGGGAGCTCTCCCCACATTGACCTTCGGTTCCGGATTAGCTATGACAGTCTTCGTTCCAGGCACACAAGTCTGAAGCAACAAGCAAGGCAGATAGATTATAGACAACAGATATACATTAGATATAGAATATACTATAGTTAAAGAGAACTTATTGCAGCCTGGCTAACTGCAAATTAATTCTTTTTTAATCACGGACGTTTATACTCGAAAGATATTGATATTCGTGAATGTCACTTGATTTGGAACCAATTCAGAGACCATGGTTTATTCGGCTGACGTAGATGCCGTTACCATGATACCGTGCTCAACGGACAAGAATCCATAGTTAGACATCGAACCATTAAAGGGACAGTAAGCCTCATCGGATTTATATGGCATACAAAACTGTACCTTAATACTGTATAACACAATCGTCTTATCCCACATGTATTTTGTCACCAGAACTTAATTAATTATTTACAGCATCAACGCTACGAAAATTTGAACGGCGCCATGACACACCCGCGACCGGTGCGCACCGCTGAAAAACGTTTGCGTATTCTTGCATTTTCTATTTTGCAGGTAAATTGACCGAGAGGCTAATCACAAAAGTGCAATCTATCTTTATACCTAAATGCTATTTAAAACCGAACGATATTCCATTCTTAGGAATTTATCCATTATTATAACCTGAAACTATATGTCGTTTATAGAATTACAATCCTTTTGCGTTTAATATGAAAAATAAGAATACCCTCGGTCATATGCCCTTGGCTAGAGTGTTTTGCGGCAAGCCTCTCAGATCGTGCGCTTTGAAATGCGCGCACCGTCGTTGTAATCAAACTGTAGTCGTTAGTTTTAAAAACATGTTTTTAAAAATAATTTCTAATGTGATTTGAACCCATGAAACTTTTATCGGTAGCGCAATTAAAACCTAAAATTAAGCTGAAAATAAGCCCTAGATACCTAGAGGCTACTGTTTCCTTTAAGAAAAATTTCGTTCAAGACAAGCTTCATGAAACCAGGAAATACAATGAATCCCACTCTAGGAATACAGTCAAGCTGGCATGTAAAGGTCACTAAAAATAACGTCTAAGGCCAGCTTATCCTTGATAAGACAGTCGGTATTATTCTATAAAAGTGGTTTCAATTGTATAATTTATTAATATATTTATTTGATATAATTATTGTTTCATACCGTAATACTAGTGTCTGCTAATGCTAGGTTTTACTGGTTGTGATATGATGTGACTGCATATCATATAATTGTAAATGTCATTGTATAATGTGTCTGTTCCCTCTTTAATGTGTCGCTAACGCAGGGTTTGAATCTGGCATATGCATATAATTTAAGTGTCATTTATAGTGTCCCTGTCCTCCATAAGTGTCCATAACGCAAGTTTTTCCCCTGTAACGCGACCTGGGTGCGTCGCGTGAACAGTAAACCGCCGATGTGTGAACGCGACGACGCGCTTAACCTTGCCGGACTCTCAGTGAGGGCCAACGCCTGTGAGGAACTCCCTTCTCGACGACGTCACCTGTCATTACG